ACGGTGTCCTCTCTCCCACACACAGACCACTGGAAAGGCAGAAATTTACATCTTTTAAGATGCAGAACAGCATTGTGCGCGTGTTTTTTACATTGATATATATATATATAGATATATAAAACAGCTGATGGGTTCAGGGATGGTTGCATTTTTGTCTTTGGAAATGTCCCTTTCCGTGGAGGTGTGTGACTTGGGGAGAGAGGCAGAGAGTGCGAGGGAGAGGGAGAGGGTGGAGGAGACGTCGCATTTGTGCAACACAGGAACAATCTTGTGAGTGTTTTTTTGCGGGTAGAAATCAGGTGAATTGGGTCTTGTTGGGGGGAACTGGATGGGTTGCAACTACCCCCCCCCCCCCACCCCCCACACCCACCCCCTGTCCGCTGCGTCCGGTTGCACCGAAACCAGAAACAAAATTCAGGAATTTTAAAATATAAAGGGTCGCAGAAATCTCGATGCAATTGAAGACGGCGGAAATTTGGGGTGGAAAATTCGAGGTGGGGGGGGAAGGCATGTCCCCCCCCCCCCCTCCCCCGTCCCTGATCAGGGAGTGAGATGTTTAAATGACTCGATTCGGATACGATGCTCTGTGAGACACGAGTGTCCATTAAGCGCCGAGTTTCTTGACTGACTGTATGTACACAGAGAGATACGGTAAAGGTTATTTTTTTAATCTCTCTCTCTTTCAGGGCTGATACCGTCTCCACTTAAAATCCGCAATTGCAATTTCTCACACACGTTTTGGAGTCTCAGACTAAAACAACAAAAAAGACCCCCCCCCACCACCACCACCCCCCAAAAAAAAAACCTATCTGTCACGTTAGGAAAAGCGAGACTGACTGGACTGACTGACTGACTGTCTGACTGAGTGACTTGGCATTTCTGAAGTTCTCGCTGCCATAACGTTTAACCTTTTATTTGCTAAGGAATTTAATTAAGACGTGAAATGAAACGTCGAAGGGCGAGACGGACAAGAGATGGGATTTCTGCAACCGATGGAATTAATACCGAGCTTTTTTTTTGCGGGGGGGGGATCACACACATATACACGCACACGCACACACAAGGCTCGAGAATTGTGCAATCAATATTCGTGGCCTTTCGCTTTGCAATGGCGTTTTTACTCCGGAAAGTGACATTAAAATGTGACTTTGCTCACCTGTCTGCTGGGGACCGGGGTCCGAAGTGAGGTTCATTCATCCGCTAAACCCTCACCTTGAAAACTCGCACCAAATGTAACGTTTCCAAGCAATTGAGCGAAGCAAAGCCCTCTCTCACCCCCTCTCCGAGATACAATCTGACATTGTTTATCAATACATTATTGGGGGTATTCCCCCCCCCCCCCCACTCGCTCTTTACACTTGTTGTCCCTAACTATGTGTAGCAAAACAAGAGATGGCCAAAAAAAAACACACAACACATTTCACACGCAGACAGGGTCTGGTCTGTTCATCCGCAGATTTGCAAACAGAATAGTTGACATGTTTTTTTTTCTTCTTAATTGACTCCCCCCCCCCCACCCCAAAAAAAAAAACGATATCTGCCGACAAAATAGATCTGACATTATTACGGTTCAGACGGATCGTTTGCAAACTCTTTCACTGTACTGTCAGTAATTCGTTCAGCTAAGGTGAAAACATCCAACTCTAAGCGTCCTAGAGGGGAGGGAGGGGGGAGGGGGGGGGGGGGAAAGAAAGATCGTAAAACGTATTCAAGCGAATGCATCGCTTTATCGCTCACAGTCTGCGAAAGCGCAGTGTGGCTTCAATTTTTATTTCCTTCTACTCCCAAATATTTTTTTGTAAAAAAAAAACCGTTTGGTTGCAAAATAATGGGAGAGAGTGACTATTTGAATGGGGGGGGGGGGGGGGAGTTGGGGGGGGGGGGTTGGAGTGTGGAAGCCTTGTCGCTGTGTGTGTGTGTGTGTGTGAGTGTGTGTGTGAGTGTGTGTGAACCAGGGATAAGATTAGACACATCACAATCCATTTAACGACCTCTTTTATCACAGTTCCGACGAAAATTGAGCCTTAAAATCGCTCAAAAAAACGACTCCAGCGCTTTCCCTCTTATTTTTTTTAAAAAAAGGAAGGATTATATTTTTGTTCGGGAAGGAGAGTGATGCAAGAGCTTTTTTTTGGGGGGGGGGGGGGAGGTGGGGTGAGGGGGGAGAGGGGGCGTTATCACACTTCGGATGTCAATATAGCTTGATTTCTGATTCCAGATCGATAAGCAATCGATAGGATAATCTCTAGCTCTCCAACTCAGATGGCGGGGAGGATTATTATTTTTTTCCCACCGACTGGAAAAATATATTTTGTGTGTGTGTGTGTGTGTGTGTGTGGGGATGGGGATGGGGGGTGGGTGGGGGAGAGAAGAGTGGGAAGTGGGTGGTGGGTGGAGGAGGGGGGGGGAAAGAAAGGAGATAGGAGGTGGGGAATGGGAATGGGGTGTGGGGGGAGGGTTTGCATAGAGAAAAAAAGGGAAAAAAACTTCATTTCCTGGTTAATTTTTGCAGGATAGGTGACGTCAGGCTCTCGGCGTCAGAATGGCTGGTATGTGACTGAGACCAAACAGCATCAAACGACCTCTCCCATTACCCAATTACATCTCAATGCTTCTCCCCCCCCCCCCCACCCCAATTTTTTTTTGCATGTAGCTTTGTACCTACATACAAAGCTCCCCCAAAACTAGTGGGCAAAAAAAAACCCTCTCCCCATTCCCCCAGTCTATGTGACCTGCTGCATCAATACGTATCAGCATCACCATCATCATCATCATCATAAATAAGAATCAACTCAACCTGTTAACTATAAAGATTTTTTTTGAACCCACCCCCCCCCCAAAAAAAATAATATTGAAAGACTTCAGCAAAAAAAATTGATGCGCCATTCGATTTTTTTTTGCACACACACACACACACAAAAAAACAGGAAAACGTCTTATTTTGCATTGCATTCACACGATCGGTTGCCTTTTCTTTTCGATTTATACTACAAGGCTGTGGTGACCTGTGTGTGTGTGTCTGTCTCCCGGAGAGAATTCGTGGGCAATAAGGAGTTTTTTTTCTGTGTATATATATTAAAAGAAAGCGAATGTGATGGTTATTATGTAAAACCCAGCGAAACCCCGCTTTATAAAGCGACTCTTTTGTTTTTGGATGGTGGTGGGGGGAGAACTTTGATCGGATGCTTAACTTTTTCGAGCTTCGGCGGTCAGTCAGTCACTCAGTCAGTCACTACTCGACTGCTGTGTGCAAAAAAAAACCTCACTGGGAAACAGCGAAGCACACAACAAGACTTGGGGGATGCAACACAGAAAAAGTAGCCAAACAAACGCTGGAGTTAGTTAGTCAGTGGTTTGTTTTGTAGATCGGGTCTGTTTGGTGTATTATTGTGTGTGTGTGTGTGGGGGGGGGGGGGGGGGGGGGCGGTGTATGTGTGTGTGGGGGGGTATGTATTAGTGTGTGTTTGTGTGTGTATGTGTTTGAGTGTGTGTTTGAGTGTGTGTGTATTAGTGTGTGTGTTTGATGTATGTGTATATGTATTAACGTGTGTGTTTGATGGGGGGGGGGGGGTTGTGTACGTGTTTTATGGTGGGGGGGAGGTGTGTGTGTGTTTGATGGGGGGGAAGATGTGTGTGTGTGTTGGATGGGTGGAGGTTTATATATGTGTGTGTTTGATGGGGGGGGAGATTTATGTGTGTGTGTTGGATGGGGGGAGGTTTATATATGTTGTGTGTGTTGGATGGGGGGGAGGTGTGTATGTGTGTGTTGGATGGGGGGGGGAGGTGTGTATGTGTGTGTTGGATGGGGGGGGGAGGTGTGTATGTGTGTGTTGGATGGGGGGGGGTGGTGTGTATGTGTGTGCGTGTGTTCGATGGGTGTGTGTGTGTGTGTGTGTGTGTGATGGGAGTGTGTGTGCATGTGTGCGTGTTGGATGGAGAGGGGAGTGGGGGGGAGGTTTATATATATATATATATATATATATGTGTGTGAGTGTGTGTTTGATGGGGGGGGGTGTGGAGGAGGTAAATGAAGAAATGTGTTCAAACACACAGCCAATAGGGACGGCCTTGTGGCTGATCGTCAGCCCCTCTGTGGGATTGGCTGATGAACATTATTAGTGTACGCGTCGGCGGGTTTCATGTGGACGGCAGAGCCCAGCTGGCGCCAGGGTTGACATAAGATGGTTTGGCTGTTACAAAAAAAATCCTCACTGTATCACTGAAGGCAGTGGAGCTTGTATTTTTTTTCCCCCCCCCAACTAAAAACCCTCCATCCCACTCCCCCCCCCACCCCCAACTCCCTCCCTCCCTCCTCCCCTTTTGCGCCTGTTGCACTGGGATCTTAAAAGGACTTATCTGGCTGTTTGCATGACTTTTAATGCAACTTTTTTTTTCCGCATCTGATTCGTAAAGCAGACTTCTCCCCTCCCAGGTTGACAGTCAGTCAGTCAGTTAGTTTGTTTGTCAAGTTAGTTTCACTCCGGGTTTTCAAAGCTTTGTAAGTACGACTCCTTTTTTTTTAATCCCCCCCCCCCCTTCTTATTTTGGGGGTGGGTGGTGTGTGTGTTTGTCTGTGAAAGGGGTGGGGGGTGGTGGGGGGGGGGGGGGGGGGGCGGTGTTTAACTGGCAGTGGTTATAAAATGGCGAGGAATGGTTAAGACCGCAATGCCAGAGATAAAGCGACCCCCGTTGCTGATTCTGTCCACGCGGAAACACGCAAACTTGTGCCATTTGATCCGCAGGTACAGCAGAAGCCTCGACTTGCCGATGGTCGCAGCAGTGAAGGTCGGATCTCAGAAGACTTAGACGATCGATCAGAAAAGAAGTGCAAAAAGAAATACTTGGGTTCCCCACACCCACCACCCCAACTCCCTCCCTCTCCCTCTCCCATCCCTCCCTCCCTTCCCAACACAAACAAACAACCCCCTACCCCCTCCCTCCCTCCCTCCCCACCCACCCCCTCCTCCTCCTCCTCCCCTCCCCACCACCACCCCCCCCCCCCCCTTTTTGATTTTTTTTTCTCTGGGAGACAAAAACAAATAAGTTTGTTGAAGCAAATTCAAAACCCAAGGCAGAGAAAGATGGAAGTAGCCACAGAGCAGCCTCGCTGGATGTCCCATCACGCCGTGTTGAACGGCCAACACGCGGAGTCCCACCACCCAGGAATGTCTCACAACTACATGGAGCCCACGCAACTCCTGCCTCCGGATGAGGTCGACGTGTTTTTCAACCACCTGGACGGCCAAGGCAACCCCGTGTCCTCTTACTACGCCAATTCCGCTCACGCCCGCGCCACCGTCTCCTACCGCCAAGCTCACGGTGAGTTTTTTTTTATTTTATTTGCTCTCGGATGAAACCACTAATAATAATAATAATAATAATGATACCAACCACCACCACTACTATTACTACTACTACTACTGCTGCTGCTGCTAATAACGTCCATTGCATCTGATATAGCGCCTTATCACGCGGATTCTCCCCGTGTCTTTACACTCCCCCCTCGCCCTCTCCCCATTAAATTGTAAATCGAAATAAAATCATCCCTTTGCTCGATTCCTCCCAAAATTGTAGGAGACGGAGCGTAATAATAATAATAACAATAATAATAATAATAATAATAATAATAATAATAATCCTTGCACTTTGATGCATCGCCTTCTCACGTCTCGACGCGCTTCACCGGAATATACTTCGAATGTGAATGGACGTGTGTATTTTGTGGGCGAAACTAAACGTTCGAAAAAGATGTAGTGATATTAATAATAATAATAATAATAATAATAGTAGTAGTAGCAGCAGCAGCAGCAGCAGTAGTAGTAGTAGTTGTAGTAGTAAGTGTAATAATAAAAAAGGAAAGTTCCCGATTTGTGCAAGAACGCCCCAAACTTCCTGGTCTTGTCCAGTTTCGCTCTGCAACAAATGCGAACAGATAAGTGACTTTAAGAGGAAGGACAGACACTCTCTCGGTGATGGTTGGGTTTTATTTAACTCTCTTGGGGGTTGGAGGGTGGAGGGGGGGGGGGTTTCGAGAGAGAGAGGAGAGAGAGAGAAGTTCAAAAGCGCAACAAAAAATAACCCCGATTCACTTCCCGGATATGAAATCAAAACTTTTTTAAAAAAAAGTAGATTCAAATCGCTAATAATTCAGGATATTACTTTCTGTGGTGGTGGGGAGGGGAGAGATTGGGGGGGGGGAGATGGTGATAGAGAGAGAGTGTTTGTCTCTCTCTTGACTCTTCTTAAGCGCTCGTGTGAGCTCTTTTGGGGAGGGGGGGAAGTGGGGGGGAAGTTTAATTGTTACTGTTTCAGACGGAGGGAGGAAGAAGAGAGAGAGAGAGATAGATAGATAGATAGACACAGAGAGAGAGAGGGGATGGGGGGGGAGAGAGAAAGTACACTGTACTTGGGTTGAGTAGTTAGAGCGAGAAAGATAGATAGAAAGAAAGATAGAGAGAGAGATATAGAGTGAAAAGGACACGACATGAGTAGAGAGATAGAGAGCGAAAAAGTACAGTGTACTTGACTCCAGTGAGGAAGAGAGAGAGAAAGACAGTGTAGTTGAGTCGAGTTGGAGAGAGAGAAAAAAGAACTTGAGTTGAGAGAAAGAAAGAGATAGATAGAAAGAGAGAGAGAGAGAGAGAGAAACACAGTGCAGTCGAGTCGAGTTGGAGAGAGAGAAAAAAGAACTTGAGTTGAGAGACAGAAAGATAGAGAGAAAGAGAGAGAACAGAGAGAGAGAGAGAAAGACAGTGCAGTTGAGTCGAGTTGGAGAGAGAGAGAGAGAGAGAGAGAGAAAAGAACTTGAGTGGAGAGAAAGAGAGAGAAGAGAAAGAGAGAGAGAGAAAGAAAGAAAGAAAGAAAGAGCGAAACACAGTGCAGTTGCGTCGAGTCGAGTCGGGAGAGAGAGAGAAAAAAAGAGAACTTGAGTTGAGAGAAAGAAAGACGGAGAGAAGAGAGAGAGAGAAAGAGAAAGAAAGAGAAAGAGAGAGAAAAAGGAGGGGGGAAAAAAAAAAACGGTGTGTGTTGAGTGTGTGTTTTTGTTGTAACGGCGTTTACCCAAACCATGTCCGACCCCCTCCCCGCAGCGCGTCTGACCGGGAGCCAAGTTTGCCGCCCGCACCTCCTGCACAGTCCGGCCATCTCCTGGTTAGACAGCGGCAAAGCCCTGTCGGCGGCGGCGGCGGCGGCCGCTCACCACCACCACCACCACCACCACCACAACGCGGCGGCGGCGGCAGCGGCGGCGGCGGCGGCGGCGGCCGCTTGGACTGTCAGCCCGTTCAGCAAAGCCCCCCTGCACCACGGCGTGTACCCCGGCGGCGGCGGCGGTGCGGGTGCGGGTGCGGGCGCGGGTGCGGGTTCGATCGCGGGTGCGGGTTCGATCCCGGGCACGGGCACGGGGTCCCTCCCGCAAGCGGGGCACCCCAGCCCGCACCTCTTCACCTTCCCGCCGACTCCACCGAAGGACGCCTCCCCGGACCTGGGAATGCACGGATCGGTGTCTCCTACCGGCGGCGGCGGTACCGGAGCGGCGGCAGCAGCAGCAGCGGCGGCGGCAGCAGCAGCAGGTCGGCACGATGATAAGGACTCCCTTAAGTACCATGTGTCTCTTGCTGAGGGTATGAAAATGGAAAGCTCTAGCCCGGTCAGAACCAGTATAGCGTCGATGGGACCCAACCTCCCCCCGACTCACCACCCCATCCCCATCACCTACCCCTCCTACGTGCACGGCAGCCACCACCACCACCACCACCACGAGTACAGCGGCAATCTCTTCCACCCCAGCAGCTTACTGGGCGGCGCGGCTTCTAGTTTTACACCCAAAGCCAGGAGCAAAACACGGTCTTGTGCCGGTAAGCAATGTTAACAGCAGTTCTCTCTTCTTCTTCTTCTTTTTTTTTCTTTACCATCCCCCCCCCCCTTTTTTTCCCCCCCTTCTCTCTCCTCTCTCTCCACTCTCTCCACTCTCTCCACTCCACTCTCTCCCTCTCTCTCGTAAAAAAAATCTTATCTCTCTCTCTCTCTTCCTCTCCTCTCCCTCCCTTCCTCTCCTCTCCACTCCCCTCTCCCTCTCTCCCCCTACCTGTCTCTCTTTCTCTCTAAAAAAAATCTCTCTCTCTCTCTCTTCTCTCTGTCTCTCTCTCTCTCTTCTCTCTCTCTGTCTCTCTCTCTCTCTCTCTCTATATATATCTATTTTTAAAAAATCATCACAATGATTATGAGGATTATTTGCAATCCCCACGTAATAATCGATAAGTCGTAATCCATCGAATCCTAACAATCATTGTCAAGTCGTTATAAGTCGTACAACAATTCCCCCACACCACCCCCTTTTTTTTAAACAGAACAAAAAGTCGACCCTTTTGTTTTTATAAGGTCCTTTTTTAAAAAAAAATCATCCTATCCACTCTCCCCCCTCCCCCCCCCCCCACTCTCCCCCCTCCAAAAAAAATACCCATTATAATTGCACAGGGTTATTAACTTAAACTTTTTTTTTTGAAAAAACACACACAAAACAAAAACGTGCTTTGCAGTGTTTTTCAATCGACTCTTATTTTTCCCTTTCCCAGATCGTGTGTTTTTTTTCCCCCTGAACTCGCTTTTTTTCACGATCATAACTTTCTTCTGGTCATAGATTTGTGGCCTTTTTTTTTCTATATGCAAATAAAACGCGAGTTGACCGTTAAGATTATATTTTATAGCAAACGGTGCCCGGTTAGAGATAGCAGACATAATAGCTGTTTAAATTAAAATATTTGCAATTTTCCTTATTTTTATATATATATATATATGAGGCTCTACTTTGTAGGAAAAGCCAGACACCATCTCGTGTTTATCTCCCAACAATTCCCCTTTGTAGATAAAGTGTTGAACTGCTCTCTTTTAAGATTCATTCTTATTTGTCTCTGGTCTACATGTTGCAACTTAACGTGTAATTAAAGCGTGAGAATAGCAATCCAGTAACACGAATTAACTCATCTAAGAAACGCCAGTGGTTCTGTCTATGGTGACCACTGCCTATAACTGTTTTGTTTTAACTGTTCCAAACTGTGCCTTCAAAGTTAGGTTTAAAATTTAAGACGAGGGACGAGAATTAAATGCTGCCGTTTTGGACCACTCTTTTTTTAATGTGTAAAAAAAATACGGTGTGTGGGTTATGCATTTTGTCTATATGTTATTTGGCTGCATTCCTCTGATCAGTTTACACTGAATTGCCGGCTGGGGGGGTGTTTCCCTGTCCCCTTCCCCTTTTTTTTTACACACACAAACACAGCGTGAAAGTGCGTGACTAAAAAGCACGTTGTTCCAGAGAAAACAAGAGGCACGACAAAGCGACTCCTGTTACTTCCTGCCCCAGCCATCACCCCCCCACCCCCTCCCCACCCAACCCTCCCCCTCTTTTTTTCACTCAAACACAACAGCAACAAACAACTCAACTATCTAATCTGATACAAGATGGATTCCAAAAACAACACAGAACAACACACGCTTAACATGTCAGTGTCGCTTAAAAAAAAACTCACGATTTGTCTTCTTGGGGCTGATTTCATGTGATCTCTGCTATCTGGTGCCTCTGACATTATATATATATAATGTCATATATATATATATGACACCAAATAGCAGAGATGGTGGGACATTTCCAGCAAACCGTAGATTTCTCCAGAATTGGCTATCACAAGAAAGACACACAATTCGGCCATCGCTTCACATTTCTAACCATTTATCTATATTTAAAAAATAAAATTAAAAAAAAAAACCCCACACACAAGTGATTTAAATGCAGTTTGCAGTTACGTTTGGGTGTGTAGGTAGTGCATGATTTGTGGCTGTCGAAGTTAATTTAAGGAAAGGTGTCTGCAGTATTGTCATGGGTGAGATAACAGATAATCCGGGGGCACTGTTTACAATCTACAATCTATATTTTGAAGATATCTTTATTCCCAATACACTTACTCCTGTGTGGTTGTTCCGGTTCAAAACACAGTTTTAAGCAAACAAAGGCTATGGCTGAAACTGCTATAGTATAGGGGAGGGATAGGGGCTGATGGGGGTGTTATATAAACTGGAATTAAAATGAGTGAAATCGCAAAGTGGGAAAAACAAGTGAAAATGGGGGCGTTGACACACAGGTGTTGGTTACAAATCCGTGTCTCACCCTCAATTCCACTGGGAATATTAAACAGCACTTTGCTGAAAGAAAGTTATGTCACGACTCGGTTCATGGCGAAAGGTACACAAAAGTAGCCTGACTTGGTTAGAGATGAGTTGGGTGGTGAAATAATGTTACCCTCCCAGTCAGTGATTGCTCTGACAACTGTACTCAAGTGACAGAGAGCTCACAAAAGTCTGGAAGTTTGGGAAACTGGCTGACTTTTTTTTAACCTTTAAATAATCTTCTCTGACTCTTCAATACGACAGTGTGTGTTAACAGTGAGAGTGCCTGAGACTTGTTTCTGAAATGAAATCTAACCATGAAACGAGTGGACGTGCGTTAACCTCCCCCACCCACCCACCCACCCACCCATTAGATTGTGTCAGGTATAAACACATTTTCACGTTGAAATCTCCCCCCACTCTGGAAGTCCTGTGGACAGGCCTTTATTTCAAACCTGTTATAAAAAGGAAGCTACATTTCTCATTGATGCAAACCACCGATTCCTGTCTCTATAGCGTAAATCTCCCCACACACGCGTGTGTTCCTAAGCCCTGTGAGTGTGTTTACCCCGATATGGGAATATTCCAAGGACATGTGCATTAAATGGCTTTGAATGTGTGAAAGGGACAGCGGTTAGGGGTGTGTGTCTGTGTGTCTGTCCCGAATATCTGTCGTAATATTGCAAGATTGATTCTTTCTTCCCAACGTTTAACCATTAATCGCCCAAATTCGTACTGTTTACGCGTGGGATGTTCCCCTGATTTCGACAGTGAGTGAGTGAGTGAGTGAGCACCGAGGGTATTCAGTGATGGATTGGAAGGTTTGTGGGGGGAAAAAAATACGAGAGGTTTAATGACAGTCAGAAAACGGCAAATACAATAGGAACAACCATCAATAATTCAAGTAGGGCGCCGATGCATTAAAAAAAACCCTCCCCGTTAACGCTAGGACCAAACTCCCGTGTGCTGACGTTGGGATATAATATTTCTGTTGATGTTTTTATATATTTGAGATTGTCTTTCACTCCCATATCTGGTACTAACCCCCTCTCTCCCTCTCCCTCCCTCTCTCCCTGTGATTGCAGAGGGCCGAGAGTGCGTGAATTGTGGAGCCACCTCTACCCCTCTTTGGAGGAGAGATGGGACGGGTCACTATTTGTGCAACGCTTGTGGGCTTTACCACAAGATGAACGGACAGAACCGACCCCTGATTAAACCCAAGAGGAGATTGGTAGGTGTGCGCTCAGCAGCAGTGTCATATAATAGAAGATAACCACGCCAAGATAACTAAATAAACACGCAACCACCAGAACAGTTACACAAATAGCTGTGTCCAATATCTGAACAGATGGACACGTCTCTCTTTCAAACCTATTATATATATATATATATATAAAAAAAAGGAAACAGGGTTTCTCATTGACTCAAGCCAGGAATTCCTGGCTCAGAAAAAAATCCCAGTAAACCTCCCCACACAAAAAAATAACGCACGTGTTTCTGTCCAGGCCATTAAAATATTCGGCCCGGACAGATAGATCGAGTGGCTTGGAATATGTGAACAAGTACAGCCTTACTGCAACCCGCGTACAATCTGGGTTGGAGGGAATCCAGGACCGTGCAATATAATGGGGAGGAATCGCTGACCATTACTGTTCGACCACTGATACTTTCACGTGTTTATTAAACCGCAGTTAACACGCAGCGAGAGTTACACCATTTAAAAAAAAACTCGCACCCTCTCTCCCTCTCTCTCTCTCTCTCTCTCTATATATATACATATATAAATGGGAATTACAGGCAAGGAATTAACATTGCGTTGTTTTTAAACTAAATATTGTCATGTGGCTGTCTGCCACTGACTGTGTTATTCACCCAAAGCAAAAGTTGACAGCATGTTGTGTGTGTGTGTGTGTGTGTGTGTGTGTGTGTGTGTGTGTGTAAAAAAAACACACACCCACAACGTTAACGTGGGTTCATTGCTTCATGGGTTAATTGTCCCGACTTTTATGCCACAGTGATTTCACTTAGAAAATAGATGTCGACTCGAGATAATTTCGACAATTGAAAGTATTACGGGTGTGTAGTTATTGTCCCACAGATTTTAAGCGGAGGTGGTTGAATCGTTTATAGAAAGTGAGTGTTTTTTTTCACTGTGGCCTCAATCAGAGACTATTAATGTGTCGGGAGCTAATATTAAACAGGGGGAGGGGAGGGGAGGGGAGGGGGGGAGGAGGAGGGGACGAGTTAATAGGTTTGCATTTGAATACATTTATATTTTGGGGGGTGGGTCAGTTTGAAAACGAAACTGTTTTACAGTCGTTAAAACGAATAATAAAGGCGATGTGCGGATTCCTTGAATAATGAGTCCCCAACGTCTGATTTTTTTTTTGGGGGGGAAAAGTGGGGTGGGGTGGGGGGAGAGCCTAAGAAACGCAGCAAAAAAAAAAAAAAAATTTTTTTTTCCATGGAGCAACTAAATGAGATGTAATTTCGTTGGAGTGGCTTTTTAAATAGCTCACTAACCTCCCAGCTTCCGAGGCGGATATCTGTTGCTTCGAGATAAGGAACTGAGCCTCTGTGTTTCGTGACCAGCGAAAGAGAGAGAGAGAGAGAGAGAGAGAGGAGAGAGAGAAGAGAAAAAAAAAATCATCGACTTTCTATAGAGGGAGGGAGGCAAAAAGGTCTCATGCTGTTTGGAAAGTTCTGCAATAGTTTTTTTTATATATCTATACACATACTTTGCATCGACAACAGTGGGCAGGTCGCTCTCCTGTCTTAGTTTATTGCACACTTACAAATAAATGTGTGGTTTTTTTTTGGGGGGGTGGTGGGGGGTTATTGTGGGTTGGGGGTGGGGGGAGAGAGAGAGAGACTGAGCTTTTTTTTTAAAAAAAAACGATCGTTTTAACCAAAAAGTTTGCAAAATGTGAACCTGAACTGAAACGTGACCCGTCTGTGCGAAATTCAACCAAAGTGGCTCAGTTTTTTTTTCAATCTCTTTTTTTCTGCTGTGTGTGTGTGTGTGTGTGTTGGTGTTCGTTCGTTTGTTGCAGTTAAACTTATTTTTATTGTGAAGCCACTCCAGAGCGCTCGGTAACTTGCAGGTGGTGTGGGGGGTTGGGGGGGGGTTGGGGGGGGGTTTGAAGTTAACGTGACGATAAAACAACCGGTATCTTAACTGGTGCATCGTTTTGGTGAAGTGTAGGTCACTGCAGAGTCAGTTTAAAGGACCTTTTCCTCACCCATCAGGACAACGCAGTTCGCTCTTAATTAAACCGAATCAGCCTTGACAGTTATTTTGCAGTAGTGTGTGTGTGTGTGTGGGGGGGGGGGGGGGGGGAATAGATGCACTAAACAGGGTGAATAAAATCTTGCTGTTTCACCGTTGCAAAATAAATTTTTGACCTAAAGAAAACCTTTGCTGGTGCATTTTGCACGGGTGGCCACCGTTGCTCGCTCGCTTGGTTGCTTGGGTCTTTGGCCACCAGCAACTGAATAGGTTTATAAAGCGATACACCGCGTTTTCTCAACCGCACTGGATAGCGATGCGCTTGTGCGGGGGCTCATTCACTAACACACGCCTGTGTTTCTCTCTCTCTCTCTCTCTCTCTCCCACCCCCCTCCCACCACCACCTCCCCTCCCTTCAGTCGGCTGCTCGGAGAGCGGGGACCTCTTGCGCCAATTGTCAGACAACCACCACTACCCTTTGGCGACGCAATGCAAACGGCGACCCAGTGTGCAACGCCTGTGGCTTGTACTTCAAGCTCCACAACGTGAGTGTCAACGCATCTGTCTCCCTTACCCCCCCCTTGTCTCCCTATTTGTTTCCCACCTCTAAGCAAAAGCACATGTTGTGATTGTATCCCGCTGTCTTGCCAGAGAAATGATTGACCGGTCTGAGACTATGAAGAGTCCAGTTTTTCAAAAAAATATATATATACAGGGTGACCAAAAAGTCGTGATATCTACCCAACTATCTAAATATATATATGTGTGTGTCGTGATTTTTTTTAAGACTTATTACACATTGTAATGTCTTTTTGGTCACCCTGTATATGTGGGCAAGTTAGACCAATTTGACCTCAGTTTCTGTATGAAATCAGGAGTTGCGCTCGCGAGGGAGAAGGGCGTAGAAACTGTCTCTGGAATTTCCATGTGTAGGTGGGATGCATGGAATTCTCTGCTTGGTTTGGATACTCTTAAGCATGTGGGGAGGTGGTTCTGTGAATCCAACCCGATTTATTTCCACTCTCTGTAGAAACGCGTGTAAAATTCATTTGTTTTACCCCCAAAAAAAATTTTTTGGGTTATAATAATAATAATGACCATTTTTTTAAATGTACACGAGCGCTCTGAGGCACTGCCCCTCGTGAAGGGCGCTATATAAGTTGCTGCTGTTGTTTGCCAAGACTTGCGCTTGTTAAATGGAAACTGGTCACTTGGTCTCAATTAGTCTCGGCCGGTGTTTATACTCCTAAACAACAGCAACAACAAAGTTACATTTATAGAGCGCCTTTCACGTCGGGACGATGTCCCAAACGAGCCTTGACCCTTCCTAAACCCTTCTCCGAGTACCCCTCGAGTCACTCAATCCACAAAATTTGTGGGATTTTGTGTGCGGAATTGGCTACCGTGTTTTGCCACAAAATACAGTCAATTAACTTTGCAATATAGTCTGTGAAGCGCTTTGATTCATCTCAACGACGTGATAAGGCGCTATATCAAATGCAAGTTTTTTTATTATTATTATGTGGGCAACTCCCGTTTTCATAGAGACACGAACAACAAATTGGAAAGGCCACTTCAAGCTCGTCGGCATATATAAAAAAACACAGTCACAGTCTCTTCACGGTCTCAGCGAGCGTATTGCTCCTGCACGCTGTCTCGCTCTCTTTAATTTGTTCCAAAAAAAACAATTCTCGGATCTTTTGTTTTGTGAAACATATAATTAAATCTTAGAGATGATGTTTGATTCCTGGCTATTGCGACAAACGTACAAGGTTTTAGTTTGCTAAGATTTAAATCCAGTTTAGTTACTGGTGGGAAGCTCAGCGGTTTGCATTGTGCTTTCATGCTTACATTTAAGGTGACTGACTTAGTTGTGGGTGAGTGAAAGCAGCCTGTTCTGCAACAGTTGGGGCAGTATAAGTGTGGAATTGGTTTCTGTACAGGAGTTCCCTGGAAGAGAGCTGTATCTTTCCTCAAAACATTCATTAATTGGTAGAAACCTATTTTTTCAATAAATGTAGGTGCAATCCGAGCCTTGGTGAAAACTATTTTCTTTATTTGCATCAGTTTATTGCTCAAATTTGGCTGGTTTTTATTGCTGCTTTCGTGAAAAAAAAGTCCTCCCTTCCACATTCAAATCTTTTTTCGTGTTATTTTTTGTAACGTTATTTCCTCAGTTACGCCTTGTTCCCAGGCTGTAAGTTGCACTCTTGTTAAGTTGACTGCTTGCAGAGAGATGCACGGTACTGGGTGCTGTACGGTAGGAGTCAGTTTCAACAGCTGATTGAATAAAGCCAAGCTGACTGAGCTCGGTGTGAGAGAGAACCTTACATTTCGTGCAGCTTCTTTTCCCACCCTCCAATCGCACGGCAACTGTGCTATTAAGTGTAGTGTTTAGCACGCTCGCCTCTCAAGTGAGAGGACCCGGGTTTGATTCCCAGACAGGGCAAAGCTTAGGCAAGTTTCCTTACTCCACACGCCTCTGTTTACCCAGCAGTAAGCAGGAACCTGGTTGTTAGTCTATTGGTGGATCGCTTTCCTGGGGATAATAATTCCTTCAAAAAAATATTCTCGACTATTTGTGGAACACTAACGTGTGCAATTGGTGGCTGCTTTTCGCCAACAAAATACACATCCACTTTACAATATATTGTACAATATAGACGCTTTGAGCCGTCTCAATGATGTGATAAGGTGCTATATCAAATGCTAGGATTATTCTTATTATCGTTATTATTCTCTCCCGGAGTACGGTTGATCTCAATGGGAGAGAGAGGATAGGGAAAGGGTGTAATGCGTTTCCGCCAGACCCCACTCATTGCCTTTGTTGATCCCAGCTGGCTTCATTGAAGGCATCTCAGACCCTTAACGTGGAGGTGTCTGAGGAAGTGTAATAGATTAGGGATTTTAGGATAGGAGTCTGCTAATATTCTTGCCAAGCTCCATAAACATATTTTGAATTGGATCCTGAACCCAGGTGCTGGTGGAGGAGACGTGAGAGGGGCTGAGAGAGACTTATTGCTTGATTTGCTCTTCCTCTCTGCAGGGTAGCCTGTGGTCTCCCTTCTCCCACTAAATATTCCTGCAGACGCCAGAGGCCCAGGGTGTGGTGGGCAAAAACTCAGGTGTGTCCCTGTCCCTCCCACACCCCGTGTCGCCTACCTGCAGTCAGGGTTCAGTAATGGACACCTATCGCAACAACAACAACAAATTACATTTGTATAGCACCTTTCACGTCGGGAGGATGTCCCAAGGCGCTATCTCACCTGTTTTTATCTTGTGACTAAAAATAGAGTGAAGTCACTTAACAGAAACGTGAGGCAAAGCGGAGGCTTTTAAGTTCCCTATAATGGGAGAGATTTTTGCCCTCTGGTTCCTCACCTTATTGACCATCAAAACGAGGCAGTGTAGACAATGAGCTCTGCTAAATTACAGGTGTTAATAGATCAATAAAGAACCTATGAACCTTGACCCTCGCTCCACCTCCCCCGCCCGAGGATTCCCTTAAGGTGTCTCTCAGTCTCAGTTATACTTTGTGTTAGAGGCAAACAAAATGTCCGGTTATGGTTTATGTTCTATAGATTTTTGTTAGGTAAGGGTATCAATGGATATGGGGCAAAGGTGGATAATTGGAGTTGAGGTAAACGTCAGCCATGATCCAACAGAATGGAGGAACAGGCTCAAGGGGCTGAATGGCCTCCTCCAGTTCCAATGTTGCTGTGGTTGGGTAAAATTTGCAGTGCTATCTGGAGCAGCAGGAGGAGGGAATCTATTTAGAGATACAAGGCCACATGTGTTATTTTTAAAGAGTGCCTTATGCCCAAAATAGAGCACATTCTCCAAGCTGAAATGAGTGGCAGTCAGCAGATCTTTGAGGCTGTTCGCCGCAATAGGAAACTCTCCACAGCTTAGTAGTGGACAGCAATGAGGTCTCAGGTTTTATCTCCCTGATCTGTGCTCAGTTAGCTCATCTCATCTGGGGTGGGTGATGGGGGAGCTGCAGCCATCTTGGAAGGGGGGAGTTGAAGGTGAGGGGCTATCAGACACGGTTCCTTCCCATCCTGTTCTCGAGAATTATCCAATGATTTCTAAGCCAATAGCCAATAGAGAAAATTCTGGACCTCAAATAACAATAGGACTGTGCTGTGGCTTTCCCCTCAGTCTTACATTCTATCGAGATGCTGTCTTTTATTTGATCATTTACTCCCTTCCTCTCCTGAAGCCGTCATGTTTTCCAGGATACAATTTGACCTCTCTGGTTGTCCTCTGGTATTTCACCCAGTCATGAAATAGCCTACCCACTCAGAGTTGGTGGGTAGGCAATTCAACTGCTTGAAGGCATCTGGGTCAGTAGCCCAGAGGCACTTAGGTCCTGGCTAAGCTTTGTGACCATATTGATGTATATGTTTCAGTAGAATATTAGGCATTGCCTTTACCACCTGGGCCATGAGGCAAGCTGGCACTGTGATCGCCCACAGAACAACAACAAAATGACATTTACATAGTGCTGTTCACGTCGGAAGGACGTCCCTGGCACCGGACAGTTGAGGGTTTGCACCTGAGCTAGTGGTTGGAATCAAGAGGAGTGGCGTGGGGAGGGGAGGATGGGATGAGGTGTGTGTGAGAGGGTGGCTGAAACCACGATCAGAGAGGAAAGTCTTGAGACTTTTGTTTTGAACCTGTTTTACTGTAGCCCAACAGGAAGTGAGCAGCTTGAGAGGAGAAAAGGAGGGAGGGGAAGCGAGGGGAAAAAAGAAGGGAGCGTGCGTCTTATTGGTGGGGCATCCGCTGACCCGATGATTTTACCCGTGCAGGTGAACAGGCCACTGACCATGAAGAAGGAAGGAATACAGACCAGAAACCGCAAGATGTCCAGCAAATCGAAGAAGAACAAGAAGATGTCAGACGGCTTCGACGAGTTGTCGAAATGCATGCAGGACAAGTCCATGTCCTTCTCTTCCTCCGCCCTAGCTGGGCACATGCCACACATGGGGCATCTCGGGCCATTCAGCCACTCAGGTCACATGTTGCCCACGCCAACACCCATCCATCCCTCGGCCAGCATCTCCTTTGGCCACCCTCACCCATCCAGCATGGTCACGGCAATGGGTTAGGGTTAGGAGGTCTCCCTTCCCAGGAAGAAAAGATGAGGGAGCCAGAAAGCAAAATGAAAACTGTCCTGTCTGCAAGGTGTTCGCCTTTTAGAGAACCCCCACCCCCTCCCGCCCCTCCCCCACCCCCACTACCCCCAGAAATTTATTTGTGTGTATTTAGGATCACGGAGAACGTCAATGGTCTTGACTTTGTGGGACATTTGGGGCATTTCAGTTGAACCTGTCCTGATTGTGCTTTTGGAAGCACTTTTTCATCATTGGCGATGATGTGGCTGATCTTAAGAGAACTGTCCAGGGTGGCATTTAGCCCCCTCAGGCTTTATGTGAAGGTGTGAATAGGAGGTTGATATTGAAAAGGATAGTCCTTTTTTTATTACTGTGAATAATATACATCGAGGACCCAGGATGAGTTCATCAAAGTGACTGCTTATGCTGGATTTTTTTTGTTGTGTTTGGTTGGTATAAAAAAGGACGCTTATCAAAAAAACCCCCACAGCCGCTGAACTTTGAAATAACCTTTTTTTTTGGTCTCGTTTCTAAAATCAGTTCATCGGTTGTGGCAGACTTTGATTGCGAGGAATGAGAGAGAAAGAGAGAGAGAGAAATAGAGAGAGAAGGGGGGAGATTGAACTGAAAGCTTAACCAATAGAGCAAGCAATGCCAACAAAGGGGGTAAAATCTTCAAACACATTTTGAATGAAACGACTAATTTCCGCTCAGCTCTGATCCACACTCTGACTTTACAACGTGCATTCCAGCCCTCTGAATTATTCTGAAGCAAAACCGAAAATGAACAGCTCAAAACGATTCGAATTTCAAAGTGTTTTTTTTAAAAAACGACGATTTAAAATAAATGTCAATTATCTGCTGCTACCGTTTTCGACTTGTATTCTAAGAACAAGTACCTTGCAGATTTAAACCATCCCTCTGACAGTGACATGTTTCAGACCCAATCAGCTTGATTGCGAGAATGGTTTATTTTTTTTTAGGGGAGGGAAAAAGAGGAGGAAAATTTTTGGCGCCTTTTTTAACCATGAGGCCAGTGATGGTGTAAAGTCGAACAGTGGATTGGCAATGACAAAGGCTTAGAACATCTTCAACACAAGCAAGCAAGGAAATAAAAAAACAGAAGTCGCTGGGAACACTCAGCAGGTCAGGCAGCACCTATGGAGAGAGGAAAGTGAGTTAACGTTTCAGGTTGATGACCTTTCGTCAGAACTCGAAGCAAGGAGTTGGGAGGCAAATAAGGAGAGAGTCTTGATTTATTGCTTAAGTTTAGGTAGTGCTCCTTCCTTACCACAGTCCTGTGGCTTTGATAATTAATTGGCATTTGGTCCCTGATTCTTGCAAGTGAACGTCAATGGGTTATTTGGGGGTGGGGTGGGGGGGGGGGTTGTGGGGTGTGGCGTGTGGGGGGTGAGAGGGCATCACAGTCAAAACTTTCCTCACCCAATATTGATTCACACACTCACCAATGGGGGAGGGAGGGGGAAAGAGGAAGAGGCAGGGGAAGTCATTGGATAACAATCGCGAGCAGGAATCTTGATGCTCCTCAACAGCTCAAAGCTCTTGGTGGAAGTTAGAGCTCCTCTATTGCCCACCCTGGCTCGGTGCAGTTGTCTCAGGCAGACTGGGATCAAACATTCTGGGCTTTTTTTTATATATCAAAATTTGCATGATTCCTCCCAGTTCTTCCTCAGACCTCTCCTAAGAATATCTACTGGAGGATTTTAGTCCTTATTTTTGGTGCCTTTAGTCTCCTCTGACGTCTGAAGGCATTGACTCATGCAGGGATAGGATTCTATGGCCCTGGTTGCCCACCAGCACCACATCTAGGAAGTCAGTGTTTATGTGTTCAGTGTTGGCAGATTGTTTAAATAGTGGAGCGCTGAGACCAAATGTAGTCCCCTCACCTGCTGTTCCGGAGGAGGTGTGTTAGCTCAGCTCAAATGACGGTCAGAACCCAGGACTGTGTGGTTCTGTGTGTCTCAGTTGTTTGCTGGGAGGTGATTTACTATCAATCTGGGGAAGAAATCATAAGGACACTATCTGTCCCTTTGAACACATTTCCCTCCTGAACTGGCAACCGTGCTTTGCATTTTGGACCTTCGCACAGGGAACTCTTTTCAGTGTTCCGATATTAAACTGCCGAGTCAAGTCAGAGCAACTTTGTACTGTATTTAGGAGGTGATGGTGAAAAGGACTGGGGGTGGGGGGTGGAGTGGGGGAGCCACTGGATGTAGGAAGGAATGACAATCAACGAAGGTCAGACAGTAAATGCTTAACATCTGCTGCGATAGAGATTAGCATGAGACAAGAAGGAAGGAAGACGCGAGCTCTCGACACAAAACACATCAAAAAGCTCTTGCAGGATGGGGCAAGAGAGTCGCGACAACCGATGATTTAGACAAACACAACACACACACAGATCTTGCCAATGTGTGTAAAGTTACTTACTGTTCATACTCAACCATGCTGAGGAACGTGCTCCGATCATATTGAATCTAATGTACATAATAGACATTTTAAATGAGGAAAGCAAAAAAGCCGCCACGAGATTGGGGTTTAAGAGACATATTATACACCGTGTACATTTGCTTATTCTGAGATGAAAAACTTTGGTGCAAGCCAGTTAATGTTATCCTTTTTACAGTAGTTGATTTCTCTTTTTTTTAAAAATAATAATAAATATTTCTCAAGGACCAAACAGCCATAATTATCCAACTTAAACAACTAGATGGTCCTAATAGGCATATTAATAGCTGCACTTTGTAACGGAATGAATACGATAGCGGGTCGGAGGGATTTGGGGGAGCGAGGGAAGGGTGGGGTGGGGGGGAGAGGGGAATAATTTCTTTTCAATGGAATTTACTATCTGAATGATTTTAAACCTGGTGACATTTTGCTATGGTACAGTGGATATTTGGATGTACCTGTATTTTCATTCGGGAGGCACGGTGGGTGGGTGGGGGGGAGAGAGAGGGGGGAGGGGGGAAAAAAGAGAGAGGAGGGGGTGTCCCTGACTTTCAAAAAAAAGACAAAAAAAATGTTTAAAGGACAAAGTGCAATATAGTACCACTCACTGCAGTGTAGTCTATAAAAGCAGCTGAGATTTTAAATTATTTTGTACCTAGCAGCATAAACAGATTTTTTTTCCCCCTTGCAGTATTTTTACTTTTTTTTCCCCTCCCCCCCACCCTTGGTTTGATGTTTGGTTAGTAGATTAAGTTATTGTTTAAAAGATGTACAACATGTTTATATATTGTCTGTACAAAAGTGTATGCTATCTTCATTATTCTTGAACGTGAACATTGTTAAGGGTAACAATAAATTACAAAAAAAACGCTTTGTGGTAAGGGCAATTTGTTTTGTGATTCGCTAATGAGAGAAAGAGTTTAAAATAGTTTAAAATTAAATGTCTCGCCTTAAATGTTGGTTCACCCTCTGGTACCTCAGCTGCTAACACCCATTGGGATTCTGTGATATCTCACCAAATGGCACTCTCTGATACCTCATCCATTGGCACCCACTGGTACCTTGCCCACTGGTATCCCGTGAACTGGTAAAGGAAACTGGACATTTGGGCTTCTTCATGTAGTCCAACTGAAACCCTGATGCCAATGGCAGGATCACTGCATTCAGAATGGGCCGTCCCTCCAGAATTATTCACCACACCTGCCCTAACTGTAGGTGCCAATCTGTTGTTGAGGGACCTGGGCATCAGTTCAAGGCTTCGCTGCACCATGTCCTGGTCAAGCAGTGCAGTTATCACGTTTCTGCATTTTTCAGCACTTATGCCAGTGCTTTCATTTCTACCCTTTGACCCTCCCCGAACCAGCAACCTCAGCAAGTCTCAGCGCTGGTTCCATGTGAAGCTCTACAGCACAGCAACACAGACACAGGAACCAGGCAGACTGCACAGCATTCCTGCACGCTCACATATGGGATCCCATTACCCTCAAAGTTTCTAAATCGCCCTCTGCCAATGGCCAGTCCATCGTGCTCATTTTTGCTCATTAGTTTAATCAGTAAACAAGTGTATTAGTGAACACTTTCCCCTTCGCAGGCAGCCAGTCGAGCACAGTAATGATTCACAAACAGCCATGGGGTGAGTGACCATTTTATTTGGGGGAAACTCCCTTTCCCTTTTTGAATAGTACCATTGGATCTTTAATGTCCACCTAAAGTGAACAGGCAGACAGGACCTTGGTGTTTTAACATCTCAATGCAATCCCCTGAGTGCTGCAAAGGAGTGTCAGCTGAGACTGTGATTCCAGGATCTGTTTGGAAGTATAATATGAGAAGTCACAGGGCCCTAATGGGATGCATCCCAGATGATGGAGGATCATGGAGGAGATGGTAGAGGCTCTGGAACTGGTTTCAAGCTTTCTCACACAGGATCCTTACAACCACTACTGACCAGAGCAGACTTCCCTCTCATCGTTCCTGCTTTATCTTGAGAATCTCAGTCGAAGGACAACCACCACCAACGTTGACAAGAGCACGAGACAAAAACAAGATGCCTAGAGGCAGTGGTTAGGTGATGCCAAGCTCGTGGTTTGAAGCTCTGTGGGTGTCAGGTGAAGGGAAAGGAAGGAATTCTTAATTGCAGTCTTAGCTTTGAAATCAGCTTCAAAAAATAATAATCATTGCATTTGATATAGCGTTTTACCCTGTTGAAATATGAGTGGGGTGGAGGAGGGAGGGGGTGGATAAACTCTCTTCTCTTAAATGGCTTAAATGGCCTGCGATTGAAGGGGGGTATCTGTGGAAACACTATTTCAGTGAACTCAGTGAGTAGTCAATGTATGGAACAGGCACCTTAGGGTGATGGTGGAAGCAGAAAGTGTTGATTCTTTCAAAAGCAAATTAGATAGATTTCTTTCAGGAAATGATATCTTGGGATACAATTATAGCTTGGGACGTAACATGTCAGGATGGTGGAAGCGAACTGGATGGACCTCGGTCTTCTTTTGTCGAGAAATCCTTATGTTCTTTTCGAATAGAGCCCTGGGATCTTGGGCTAGTATTTTCTCCAAAGCATGAGAAAGCAGCACTCCCTCAAAACTGCATTGAAGTGTCAGCCAAGATGTGAGCCCATATCCCT